CACACTTCAAGGGGTTGAGACGCAAGTCGTGGGCTCGAAGCGCTTGGAACGTCTCGCGCAGGTCTGATAGATGGTCTCCCCTCTGCTTGCTTTTGACTACCAAGTCGTCCACGTATGCCTCCACGTTCCGCCCTATTTGATGCTGGAACACCTTGTCCACCATTCGCTGGTATGTGGCCCCGGCGTTTTTCAGCCCGAACGACATCACTTTATAGCGGTAGTTGCCAAACGGAGTCATGAAGGCCGTCTTGTCCCTGTCCTCCTCACATAAGGGTATTTGGTGGTATCCGGAAAACATATCCAGGAAGCTAAGTGCCTCATGGTATGCGGTCGCGTCCACTAGCTGTTCGATCCTTGGCATGGGATAGGCGTCCGCGGGGCAGACTCGATTGAGGCTGGTGTAGTCCACACACATCCTCCAGTCTCCCGTCGTCTTTGGTACCAGCACAACATTAGACAGCCACGTTATATACTTGGCCTCTTCCACAAACCCCGCCTCTCGCAACTTTCCTACCTCCTTTCTCAGCGCTTCCTCCTTTTCCAACGAGATTGGCCGCCTCTTCTGTTGGATGGGGCGCACGCCCCTTGCTATAGCGAGGCGGTGCTCCGCGACCTCCGCCTTCACGCCGGGCATCTCTTTGGCACTCCATGCAAACAAGTCCGCGAACTCCTTCAACAGGTCAACCATTGGCCCCAATTCTTCTCCCGTCGTGTGTGTCGACACACGAACGCATCTGTCAGGGCGCATGTCGTCGAGAGGCACATGTATCTCTTCATCCGCCGCCTCGGCCCTTGGCAGGTCTTCCGGGCGCGTATCGATATTATACATCCGACTCCTCTTAGCGAGTCTCACCTCTGCAGAGGCCTCGCCCCTTGATATTCCGATGCCCTCCAGTGTAACAAACTTCAGGATCTGATGACAAGAGGAGGCTACCCCATTAAAAAGGGCAAGCAAGGGGCGCCCCAATATTGCATTGTACGGCGAGGGGCAATCAACTATGCCAAATTCCACCGTGTGTGTGACACAATGTGTTTCGTCGCCCAGCGTCACCGGAAGGCGCACGCGCCCGAGCACTTGAGCCGGCGCCCCAGAGAACCCAATTAGCACCGTGTCCGCGGGCTTCACCATACTCGTCGCCAACTGCATCTTTTCAAATGTGGAAAGAAACAACACGTCCATTGAGCTTCCAGTGTCGACCAACATCCTCTTGACTTCACACCCGGCGACCACTCCGCGGACTTCCAACGCCTCCGTGGAAGGCGTCCTACACGCCTCTTCGGGCACGTCGTTGAAGCGTATTTGTATGGCCTCTCGCGCACTGGCGGTGGCGGACCTCAGGCGCTTACTTTCCTCCAACTTTTGCCGCAAGTCTACGGAGCCCGTGATGGCCTCGATAGTCAGTATTACGCGGTTCGGGTTAGCCTCCTGCTCTACATCGAATGGGGGTGGTGGTAAGGCAGCGCCTTCCTTAGGTTGATCGTCCACCACCCCTTGCTTCTCGTTGGGCGCTTCCACTCGCTCCTCCTGGGCTACGAACGTCCTCTGCGCCCTGTCATCCTTTTTCACAAAGTCACTCAACATGCCCCTATCCACCAACCCTTGGATCTCTGACTTCAGCTGGTAGCAGTTTGCGGTGTGGTGTCCCCGCTCCCTATGGAACTCACAATACCTATCGAGGTTTTGCTCGTTCGGGCGCCCCTTCATAGGTCCCGGCCAACGGATATGGTACCCCTTGTCCTTCACAAATTGCAGCACATTTTTCAGCGAGTCATTGAGTTCGGTGAAGTTCCCACTTCCCTTGGGTGCAAAGCGCGGCGGTTCAGGACGCCTCGCGCCCGCCGGGTAAAACGAGGGTGGATTAAGGGTAGCCGGTACACGCGGCGCTCGGCCCCCCTCAGCCTCTTCGGAGCGCACGTCTCTTCTCTCCAATCTTCTTGCCGCCAACGTCTCCTCTAACATGATCACCTTTTGCACCCTTCGGTCCAGATCCTCCGTGGACACCACGTCCCACTTCGACAGCGGCCGACACAATTCCTTGCTGGTTCTGCACTCGTCCAAGCAACATCCCAAGACCGGGGGTTTGACGTCCTTGACCGCCATGGCCACGGACATCCAGCGCTCGTAGAAGTCCCTAAGCGCCTCGCCCTTGCGCTGCCTGACCTTAAATAGGGCACTGATGGTGAGACTCCTGCGCTTCCGGCTGGCGAACTTTGAAAGAAAAAGGGTTGCGAACTGCTCGAACCCATCGATCCTCCCCTCTTCGATTTGGTGGTACCAATCCAAAACCACCCCTGTGAAAGTGGAGGGAAAGGCACGGGCGCCTCTCGGGATGCCTCGGCGGCCGCCTGTCCTCCTTCCCCCTCAACTCCTCCTAGCGCCTCCATGGTCACTTGCTTGCTCGGTAGCTTGGTCGGTCACTCTTATCGTTACGCTTCCCCTTCCTGGCGCGCCAATTGTTCGTGCCCGGAACCCCTCTCTTCACGCCTGGCGTTCCGATCCCCTCGGCTCCCCCGGATATGCGCCCTCCTGCACCCACACAAGTACCTAGCGGACCAACGTGGTCCGTTAGCACTCCGACGCTCAAGTGAGAAACCTTCTTTTAGAGAGAGAAGTGAAGGAACAGTTCTAGTAAGAGAAGCTAAAACTGAGTAAATGAGGTTTACCTACTCGACTATTTATACCCGGGGCGAGATCGACCGGTATCCGTCGCTCTCGCCCTGTGTCAGGCCCGTCATAAATGCACCGTACGTTCCTCGCGCATGCGCCTCGACCATCTGACACAACGGTCAGAGGACCAAGGCGCATGACATCACCAAGTCAACCCTCCGTACCCTTTCGACCGTTGGCTACTTTTGTCTCGTGCACCCCTCGCCTGGCACCCGGTCCCACCTGTCTCCCACGTCACTCTGGCCACCTGCGCCCTTGTCAGGGCGCCCCCCTAGCCCAAAACCCTTGCCCCCATGGGCTTTCCTGAGTTCTTCTAACTGGGCCCGTATCTACTAACACCACACTTTGGGCTTTTCCTTTTATGTTGGCCCCTGGCCCCTACTTGTTCCCCCAACAGTATTAAATAGGAGCATACCATATGGTAAGAAAGCGTACCTTGATGGTATGAACATACCAAGACTGTAGGAAGGTTGAATACATGATAGTAGGAGTATACTAACCGTTATTTACGACTTTCATCGTTGTTTACAACAAGTTACCACCCCCATACCAGAGTGGTAAAGTATGATATTTTTTAGACCTGTATTTTTTTCACCCAGAAATTTGTAGATCCAATAGATTATGATGAACTCATTCCTTCTGAGCAAATAATTTCAAAAATGACTTAAAAATGAAGAAGTTACCATATGTTATGGAGTTGGTAACGGGAGGTATGAAAAAAATTCTCAATTTTTTTTAATTGATCTCATTTTGTAGAGCACACACACTCGTTTCAATAATGCAAAAAATTTGAAATCTGAGTTAGAACGAAGAAGATAAAAGTCGATTAAGAAAACTAGGGAAAATAAATTACCTTTAATTCACAACCCGTAAATCTAGATTTGTGGCCCACTTAAATCTAAAGGTCCATATTTAGTTACTCATATATAAGTAACAGTATCTTAAGCCTATAAAAAAGGAAGAGAACAATTACCAGGCCGCCCATCTTAATACCCTTCTTTGTCAGTGTGTTTTAATTTTTTTTTTATCCAAGATAAGCCCCCAGGGCATGGCCGAACAACAAATATATAAAACTGAAAATAATAAAGAACGGTAGCCCGTATGCAACCGGACTCCCGATAAAAGAGCCTTTTTTGCCACGAGGTGGGCAGCTCTATGAAAGCTCGGAAGAGCAAAGACGCGAAACTGACACAGGGAGTTGAGAAGAGAGAAAGAACTTCCCTTAAAATATCTCCGACTTTAGAATGGGAAGACCTCCTCAATGTAGCATCCTGATGACCGGTTGAGAATATCCTCGAGAGGTAACAAACAAACATTATGAGTAAGACCCTTTCTCATAGTAATAGCATAATAAATTTTACCAAAAGCAAAAGAGACAGTTCCATCACCTGAAAATCTGGCAAAGTCAGTTTGCACATCCGTGAAGATTCTTTGTGGCCCAATCAAACCGAATCATACTTTTGCTAAGGCAGGTTATATCTAACCCCAAAAAGGCATCCACTGTGATGCTAGAGATCTCTATCTCAAGAGATTGAGTAGTGCCCTTTAGGTATAGGCGACATAACCGAATGTAAAATATCAATTGTATAATTCATAAAATGAAGTACAATAGATCTCCATTTGTAGATGGATCCGAATTACCCAATATACAATATTCTTAAAATGGAATTACCAAATATAATGAAATAAAATTTCAGTGTGTTTTAATTGGCCATTAGATTTATTGCATGGTCATATAATGTAATTTTGTAGGACTTCCTAGATTTGGATTTTGTGTTCTATCCTTTCGTGTAAAAGAAATTAATTCCTAACCATGGTTGTCAGGCTGGTGGTTAGCCTGCAACAGGCACCGGTTACAAAACTGTCTTGAATGCCCTCGGTTTTGCTGGCTTGATCAATTTTTTTACTTCTAAACAAAATGGTGTTGTTTTGGTGAGTTTAATTAACAAAAACAATTGATTTGTTTCTTGAATTTGAAAGTCGCATGTTGATATTATTTGTTGGATTCAAATTAGGAATTGCTTAGATATTTATGTTATTTGTTGGATTCAAATGTACACTTTTGGATGTTGGAGTTAAATGTTCCATTTCGATATGAGGATTTTTTATTTTGTATTAATCTTTTTTATTTAACTATCGAAGTAGATATTAGAGAGATTGTCTGGAATAAGCAAACGACGACACTAATTTACACAAGAATAAACATAATTCTCATACGTTAAGATGATAAAAACATATAAATCCATTATTTTTTGAACTGTTACTTACACATAAGTCGTGACTGCCAAATAAAAAAAAAAGGTATGTAGTGCATGTGCCGGACAACCTTCCGATGGATGCTGCAACTCCATTGTCGTGTGCGGGAATCACTGTATTCACGCCTTTAAGGGACCATGACTTGATTGGATCTCCAAGAAAAAAGGTAGGTGTTGTTGGACTCGGCGGCCTAGGGCACGCGACTATAAAATTTGGGAAGGTATTCGGCCATCATGTTACTGTCATTAGTACCTCTCCTTCCAAAGAGAAAGAAGCTAGAGACCGATTATGTGCTGACGACTTCATCGTGAGATCCAATCTCAAACAAATGGAGGTATATAAATTCATCTATGCACTTCACTATCATCACTTTCTTCTCCTTTTCCTTTTGGATATCCAATGACTTCAAACTACTAATCTTGTTTGAACCATCCTATTTGCCTCCTCTATTAAATGTTATTAGGTTATATATAAAGAGTAAAATTTTATTTTATCTATGGTGGTAATAGGTGAGAAAGCTTAGCCTCGACTTTATACTGGATACGGTGTCGGACGATCACTCTCTCGGCCCAATCTTGGAGTTACTGAAAGTCAACGGGACGATGGTCATCGTTAGGGCTTCAAGCAAAAGCAAGTCCCTTGCAGTCCGGGATTTTCCTGGGAGAACCGGTAAGAGATTGAGATTACCCAGCCCACAAACTCAATTATCCTAGTTTGGGCCATGGCCCATTATGACCGAAGGAGAAGTTCATTAATTTTTGTGCTTATTTTGTAAACACTAATTTTTAGGGTAAATTGCACGGTTGGTCACTGAAATTACTAAAAACGTTCATGTTTGGTCACCAAAAATAATTAATTCCGTTTATGGTCACTAGAATTAGGCAAACAGTTTAAATTCGGTCACTCACCGTTAGTCTCCATCCATCTCAATTAACTAAGTTCGTTATTTGCTGATGTGGCTAACAGAATCGTCTAATCAACATAATTGAACCCGAAAATAATAAAACCCAACCCGCCATGTCATTAAAACCCGCCATGTCACCTTGTTCAACCCAACCCTTGAACCAACCCAACACTTAAAACCCAACCCACTCAAAAAAATAATGTTTATCCCATTTTCCTTTCCAGAACAGAAGTCCCATCTTCTCTCTACTTATTCATTTTTCTTCCCCGAATACAATATCCAGAAAACACAAAACCCCCCAAATTTCCAGATCACGTTCATCCCAAACCTAATCCCGGTGAGAATCTCGGCCACAGGATTTCGTCAAACCCAATACCGGTGACATTCTGGGCCACCCTATCACGGCAACAATCACGGTTACATATGTGCTGCTTCACAAATCACAAATCGTCCCCAGCAACCGAGGACTTGAGACGGGGCTCAGATTCTTCCTTCCTTTCGGAGGCTACTGGTTCGTGAGAGCTAGATCCACTGTTATCTCGCGTTTGGAGGCCTGGAAATCGAAGAGCTCGGACAAGGACTTGGGGCGGGGATCGTTTATTCCACCGTCACCAATTCCGCCGTCCGAGAGGCTGCTAACGGAGACGAGCTCGTCGACGTTTCCGTTCTCTCTGAGGAAGAGGAGGCGAGATTCCCCTACTGAGATTTCCAACTCCACCAAGCTCGACCTTTCGTTCAGATTTGAAAGGAAGCAACGCACTGGTGAACATCGCTTCGGTGTTGAGGGATGATTCGGCAGCCTCGCACGCTAACAAGGAGAGTTCGACTAGCGCAGGCAGTAAAGCCTTAGATGCGTAGATCCGGCACGAAAGGGGAACTCGAGGAACGCCGGGGCCGGTTACGGAGAGGGAGAAGATTAGGGTTCTTGACGTGAAGGGGAACTTGGGGAGAGGAAGGGTCAAGAAATGGGGTCTGGTCAGTAGTGGGTTTGAACTTTGATGTGGAGATATTTCTCATGTGGCGGGTAGGTTTTTTTTATTTTTTAGCTCAAAATCAAGTGACTCAGCGTTCTGTTAGCCACATCAACAAAAAACTGACGGTGTTATCAGAGATGGACGGAGACTAACTGAGAGTGACCAAATTTGAACTGTTTTACTAAACATAGTGACCACGAATGAAATTAAATATCTGTAGTGACTAAACATGAATCGTTTTGGTAATTCCAGTGACCAACCTTGTAATTAACCCCTAATTTTTAGGGCATTGCTATTCGTCGCCCTAAAAATCCTTATTCGTCGCTCTAATTATATTAAATTTACTGTAATGTCCTTGTTTTTTTTTTCTTTTTTCTTTTAAACTCTAAAACAATAACCATATAATCAAGGTGGTCGAGCACCGTCCACATGTATGGAGAGGGAGGCTCAGATTTAGAATTGCGACCGGAAGCTCTACCGTGCATGGCTGCGACAAACGGTTGCCGGCGTGAATCAGATGTCCCGTAAATCCGGTGTCCACCCGACATGGAATCGGCGGCTCCGCCGCTACTGAGCCGGGAGCTCGCGGAAGATCCAAAAGCTATCAATTTTTTTTTTTTGGCAGACAAAAGCTATCAATTTCATTGTCATTGCCTCGTGTTTAATAGCAGAGAGAACCAAACAAATAGGAAAGGAGGAAAAGAGGAATCAGAGCTAGCTAAAGTTGTAATTCAATAACCACTTCAATAACCAAGTCACATTCACAAACACACAACAATCAGAACGGCAGCGACAGGTTTGGGTAACGGCAGCGGCCGCCGGCAATCGGCTGTGGACGGGACGACACAAGGAGGTAGCGCTTAGGGAAATTAGAGTTAGGGGTATACACGTCAATTTAGTATGGTTTAGGGCGATTTTTTTTTAAATTTAGGGCGACGAATAGCGATTCAGAATTTTTATGAAGGGAAAAGAACGGTGAAAGGTGGGATCGTCGGAGGCTTAGGATAGGGTGACCTATGAGTAACTAAATCTGTACCTTTAGATCTAAGTGGACCCAGAAAATCCAGATCTAAGGGTTGTCAATTAAAGTCATTTTATTTTTCCTAGTTTTCATAATTGGCTCATATCTTCTTCGTTTTAACTCGGATTTCAATTTTTTTTTGCACACATGAAACGAGTTCGTTGTGCTCTACAAAATGAGATCAATTTTCAATATATTTCGAGAGAAACTTTTTTTTACCAACTACATACCATATGGTAACTTCTTCGTTTTAAGTCGTTTTTGAAAACGTTTGCTCAGAAGAAACGAGTTCTTCATGATCTATTGGATCTACAAATTTCTGGGTGAAAAAAATACTAGACCAAAAATTACCATACTTTACCACTATGGTATGTGGGCGGTAACTTATGGTAAACAATGATGAAAGTCGTAAATGACAGTTAGTATACTCCTACTATCATATATTTAACCTTCTTACCATATTGGTATGTTCATACCATCATGGTACGTTTTCTTACCATATGGTATTAAATATGAGCATACCATATGGTAATGACTGGTAAAAAATTATTCAATTTTTTTGTACTAAAAATATATCAAAGTGGATATCATTTTAAAGAGCACATTTAATCTGATTTATCTGTGCAAAAAAATTTAAATTTCGACTTAAAACGAGAGAGAAATCGCCCGTTAAAGATTAAATGAGAAAAGATAAAACACTTTCTAGGAGAGAGGGAATGCTGATATCATGCGGATGTGGATAGGTTAGTGATGGTTACTCACCATAAGGGTTATTGACCTGATCCGCTCCCATCATCGGAGGAATGAAGGAAATGCAAGAGATGATGTACTTGTGTGGAAAACACAACATAACTTGTGAGATTGAAGTTGTGAAGCCAGACGATATCAAAAAAGCACTCAGTCGTCTTGTCAAAAATGACGTAAAGTATCGTTTTGTTATAGATATTATTGGTAACTCATCTAGTTTGTAATCAAAGAGGTTTTTTTTGTATTGTTTTTAATTTTCTTGTTGGATACTGATTGTATCATGGTTTCTGAGCTGGAAACTCTGATGATAAAATAATAATTGGGAAATAAATCTACACAAAGAAATTGAACTTTAAAAATTGAAATCAATTAAATTATGTATTGGTTGGCATATATAAATTGTATTTGGGGTTTTAGGATAATATTTTGTTCCTGTGGTTTTTTTGTTAATTGCTATGTCTAACTTTTTCTTTTAATAGTGCGCCTTTGGCTAAACACAAGTTTAATCTAGTATTGCTCCACAATGATTAATTAGCATGGAAGAAAGAACACATTCAATTTCAGAGCAATTGTTTATGTTCTTCTGTGGATTGTACAGTACTTAATATTGAATAATCATAGCAACAAATATAATAAGAAAAAACTTCTTTTTCAGAAAAAATATAAACAATAAAATTTGCCACCATATAAGCCCAAACTCCAACAGCAATACAGCACCCCCATCTTAACTCCATCCCACCACCAAAACCCAAATTTCCTCCCTCCCAAGATTCCCAGTCTGATTATCGATGGCCCAAACGACGCCGAACCACACCCAGACGGTCGCCGGCTGGGCAGCTCGCGATTCCGCCGGCGAGATAGCTCCTTACACTTTCAAACGCCGGTCAGTTCCCCCCACCTTTGCTCTCTCTTTCTTTCATATATATATATTTCACAAAAAGTTATGTTTTCTTCCTCCCTAAACTCCACAAATGCTCGATTAACTACTTTGATTAGCCTTTCAAATGATGATGATTTTAAGAAATAAAGCTAATGATCACAGGGAGAATGGTGATACCGATGTAACGATAGAGATATTGTACTGCGGAATATGTCATACAGATCTCCATCAAGTGAAGGATGATTGGGGCATGACCATGTATCCTATTGTTCCCGGGTATGTATATGAAATTCCAAATTATATAGAGTACTTAGTCATCTTATTGCTAGAAGTGAATTTGAGTTGGACTATTAGTCTATAGCGCTGATGGTGAAATATATCCTATTATAACACTTATTGTTCATTACAAAATTGAGTCATAATGAGTCGTGATGCGGTTGAAGAGTTGAGTCATATCCAGGTCGGATAATATTTTTGTGATATGTTATTAATTTTGAAACTACTGATTTAATTAACTGCTTTAAATTTGTAATCTCCACTAATTTGGTTGGGGGTTTGAATTTGATTACGAGCATCTTAGGCATGAGATTACAGGGATAATTACCAAGGTGGGTAAAAAAGTGGAGAATTTCAAGGTTGGAGACCGAGCAGGAATCGGTTGCCTGGCTGCTTCATGCCTGGAATGTGACTTTTGCAAGAGCTCCCAAGAAAATTACTGCGACCAGCTTCAGTTCACTTATAATGGCATTTTCTGGGACGGCAGCATTACTTATGGCGGTTACTCCAAAATGATCGTCGCTGACTACAGGTAAAACTGCAAGAATTTCTATTTACCTTTGCCCCTAAGTGGATGGATGACCTTTTCAGTCCAGTACCTTGTGAACATCGGAATTCGGAACCTATAGTTTTTAGCAAAATAATAATAATAGAATTAAAACAGATGTCATTTGCAACTTAAGGATCCATAAGAAAATATAAATATTCATTTAATTTCCTATAAACCCATAAAAGTAAACGAAAACTCCAACTTGCTAGTTGTTAAACAGATACTTTAGGGCTTCGAAAGCAACAAGGGTTGATAAACTAATACAAGGGAAATATTGCCAAATCTTCCAATTAAGCATCCTCGACAACATCGATACCTTTTTCCATGTGAAACCTGTAGCTCCTTCACTTTGAACCTCTTAAAAAATTCACTAAAAAAAACCTCTTCAAAAAGGAAAGACTAGTCTCATCCACGTGAAAGTGATTATGTTCGATAATGTATTATGTAACATTACCAAATCATGCCATTGACGAAAAAGATTGTGATATGATGTGAACAAGATACAACTCTATTCTTTTTCCAAATATTACTTATACATTGTTGTTGTGACTTTGAAATTAAAAAAAGGTACGTAGTGCATGTGCCGGAGAGCCTTCCAATGGACGCTGCAGCTCCATTGTTGTGTGCGGGAGTCACTGTGTTCACACCTTTAAAGAACCATAACTTGATTGAATCCCCAAAAAAGAATATAGGCGTTGTTGGATTGGGTGGCCTAGGGCATGTAGCCGTAAAATTTGGGAAGGCGTTCGGCCACCACGTTACTGTCATTAGCACCTCTCCTTCCAAAGAGAAGGAGGCCAGAGACCGATTAGGTGCTGATGACTTCATTGTTAGCTCCAATCCCAAACAAATGGAGGTATATAAATTCGTCTATGCACTTTACTATCATAATTTTTGTTTCCCTTTTTTATGTTGGATATCTAATAACTTCAAACTACTATTATTTGAACAAGTCTATTTGCCACCTCCATTAGATGCTATTAAATTTAAATATATTAAATGAGATTTTATTTTATGTATGATAATAGATGGGAAAGCGTACACTCGACTTTATACTCGATACGGTGTCAGCTGATCATTCTCTTGGACCAATCTTGGAGTTACTGAAAGTCAATGGGACGTTGGTGATTGTTGGAGCTTCAAGCAAGCCCCTTGAACTCCCATCTTTTCCTCTGATATTTGGTAAGATAATGAGATTATCTAGCCCACAAACTTAATTCTCCTAATTTGAGCCATTGCCCATAACAGAAGTTCAACAATTTTTGTGTGTTTAAACACTAATGCAGGTAAAAGAACGGTGAAAGGTGGGATAATCGGAGGAATGAAGGAGACGCAAGAGATGATGGATTTGTGTGGAAAACACAACATAACTTGTGATATTGAAGTTGTGAAGCCGGACGATATCAATGAAGCACTCGGTCGTCTAGCCAGAAACGATGTGAAGTATCGATTTGTAATCGATATTGGTGGTAACTCGTCCAGTTTGTAATTGGAGAGTTTTTCTTTAGTATTGTATTTGGTTTTCTTGTGGAAGTTTGAAATAATATTGCTAGTTTTCTATTGTGAACTCGTCTAGTTTGTAATCGGAGAGTTTTCTTTGATATTGTATTTGGTTTTCTTGTTGGATATTGCAATAATATTGCTAGTGATCTACTCCAGTCTATAATCGGAGAGTTGATCTTTGGTATTACATTTGGCTTTCTTGTTGGATATTGATTGCATTATGATCACTGAGTTGTAAGACAATCATGGTAAAATTATATTTGAGAAATAAATCTTGAGAAATAAATTGGAATTTGAAACTTGAAATCAATTAATTTTTTTATGAATGGGTGGGATTTTTTTCGTCTATACAATCTGTACAAAGTGTTGCAGTTACAATCTTTCAAATTCAATCTAGCTAGAGTAATCTACTTGTTACTACTATGTACAACTATCATTAGAGAGCTTTATACCACAGGATTCGAATAGTTGGAGATGCAGCAAAACCTTGGTCTCCAAGTTCTTTTGCTTCCATAATAGTTTGCATCCTCTTAGCCAATTCCTCTACTGCTAGCTGCTTCGCGCCATAGAGTCTTCGGCACTTCTCCCTCCAGACTTCACTGAGTACCAATCACCAAAGTATCCTTCCCACCTGACACTTACTCAACTTCTGGTTAGTTGTCTCCACTTCCTGCTGCAATAGGAACCTGCCAAGAAATTGGGAACACAGTCCTCCATACATCTTGCATATATACACACTGGAAAAAAATATGGTCCCTAGATTCTGCCTCCAGCCTACATAGTGGTCAAATTGTATTCACCTCAGCATTTTAACGTTGCACTTTGTTCAATGTTGTGATTCTCCCCAACAGAATAAGCCATGTTAGCAATGAGTTCTTAGGTATACCTCCTTTCCAAACCAATTTTGACCATGTCACTGCCTCCCCACGTGGTCTAATGCTTTGCCACACCTTGCTAAGTTGGAATCTGGGCATTGCTAATCCCTCCCATTCCACCCCCTGATCTGCTTTACACAGTCTGCCTGCAAAATTTCTGAGTTTGTACTCCAAGAGCCTCTTGTCTGCACTTCCCAAATGCTAAGATTTCTGAGTTTGTACTCCTTCAACCAGGCAATCTAGAGCGTTTGCTAATCAGAAATAATTTCCCACAGATGACGAGCTAAACACGCTTTATTCCAAGAACTAAGATCCTTAAACCCAGACCACCTTCAGCGTGGGGCAAAGCCACCATTTTCCAGGAGACCCTTGCCCTAATCTTCTTCTCTAAATAACTCCAGAGAAATTGGGAGCATAGTCTTCCAATTTCTTTGATAACTTTCTTAGGCAACAGAATGGCATTCATCTAGTATTGAGTCATACTGGCCAGTACTGATATTACCAATTCAAGTTTCCCCGTATATGATAAGAGTTTGGGTTGTCATCCTAGGATCCTCCCAGCTATTCTGTCAATTAATGCTTTGCAGTCTTTAGTAGTAAGTTTCACTGCATTAAAAGGTAGCCCCAGGAATCTAACAGGCAGGCTTCCTTCCTTCAAACCAGAGTGGCTTACCAGCTCAGCCCTTAATCCCTCTGACACCCCTGCACTGAAACATCTCACTCTTACTCGGGCTACACTTGAGCCCTGAATCTAGGTAGAATTTTTGGAGTATCTCAGCTACTACCCCACCCCCTCTACTGACCCTTTGGTAAAGATTAGTAGGTTGTCAGCAAAGCACATATGGGTAAGGTTTATTCTACTGCATTGGGGATGAAAAAGGAGAATAGATCTAGCTGCTGCTCTTTCAAGTATACAACTCAATACCTCCATACTGATGGCAATCAGATAGGGAGATAAATGACATTCCTGCCTCAGCCCTTTTCTTGCCTGAAATTTCCCTATGAAACCTCCATTTATACACACTATGAAACTAGCAGATTGCAGACAACTCTTAATCCAACTAACAAACTGCTCGGGGAATCCCATTGCTATCAAAACACAATTCAGAAAATCCCAGTCTACACTATCAAATGCTTTCATGATATCAATCTTGAGTGCACATCTAGGGGAAACATTCTTCCTACAATACCATTTAAATAACTCATTTGCAAGCACTATGTTATCCATTATTAATCTCTCTTCTATAAAAGCTGACTGATTAGGGCTTATTAACTGTGGAAGGGCCTTCTTTAGAAGATTAACTTAAAAAATTTAGACACACTTGTACACAAAATTACAATAGGAAATCGGTCTAAAGTTCTTCATAGAGGTAGCATTAGGTACCTTAGGAATGAGGGTGAGAATGGCGCAATTGACTTCGTTTCTCAATGTATCAGAACGAAAGAAATCCTGAACAGCCTGAGTACAACACATCCCCCACAAGTCCCAAGTATTTTTGGAAGAATTCAACAGTGTATCCATTAGGTCCAGGGGCCTTTCCCTTCTTCATTCCCATCACTACCATCCAATTTCAGTTGTTGAGGCTATAGAACATAGATTCCCAGTGTCATCTGCCAAATGGAATCTCAACAACTGCCTAAGAGTGTCCATAGTAACCCTTTTCAACTGTGAGTCTTGAGTCCCTAATAGCTTCTCATAGAACTGCACTGTCTCTTGCCAATCTCCTTAATTTCCTCCAACACTATTCCCATTTCAGTAACCAACTGTTTTATTGTTTTCTTATATTTCCATGTTTTGACCATGCTATGAAAGAATCTTGAATTTGAATCTCCACAATTCACCCACTGTTGTTGTGACTTCTGCCTGAGAAATGACTCTTCAGCCTTCTATATTGCTAGAAGCTGGACCATACACCTCTACTGAGCCTAAAAAGCTGACGAGGCAGGGTGCTCCAACACGTCCAGATGAGCTTTTTCAAGTTCTTCTTTTGCCTTCTTAACTTTCTCGTGAATATCGGAGTAACACTCTCTATTTAACTTCTTCAAACATGCTTTGATATTTCGGAGCCTCTGATATAGCCTAGTCATTGCTGAACCAGTTGAAGGACAAAGCCAGCCTTCTTTCACTAAGGTTTCATACTATGGATGTATCTTCCAGAAGCTGAAGTATTTAAATGGGCGAGGTAAAGTTTGAATCTTGGAATCTTCACTAATTAGTAAACCACAGTGATCAGAGAGTCCAGGGAGGAGAATCTTTACTGAAATTCTGGGAAAAACTTCCATCCATCCTTCTGAGACAAGCACTCGATCCAAATGCTTTGCTATATGATTGGCTGCCTGTTTGTTAGACCATGTGAACCAAGGTCCAAACACAGTATGATCAATAAGTTGCAAATCATCAATCCATGACTTAAACTGCTGAGCACTCTCCCCTAACCCACCAGAGTTTGAAGCTTCTGTATTATTCACGATTGCATTGAAATCCCCTGCCACTATCCAGGAAATTGTCAAGTTAGCATTCCCTTTTATTTTTAGATAGGTCTGTTGTCTGTCAACTACATCATTAGAACCATACACGAAAGTATACTGCTTTGGAACCCCTCCCTGGAGAATCCCATGGACATAGAATCCATTACTATCCAACACCCTAAAATTCAACTCCTTTTTCCATAAAACCCAGATTCTTCCAACCCCAGTTTCAGAGTAGGTATCCTTGTATTTCCAATCTGGGAACCTGTCTGCTATTATTTGCTGCACTTTATCTACACTAACTCGAGTTTCCAATATTGCTACAATCTCCACCTTATAACGAAGGACCATTTCCACTACACACTCCTAGTTATCAGGGCTGTTAAACCCCTGCATGTTCCATACTAGGACATTTATAACTTGACAATGGTTTTTGCCCCTTTCGTAGGCTGACCCGGTTTACCCTTCTTCTTTTGCTGGCTATCTTTTCCTAGTGCTGGAAAATGGACAGGGTCTTTGAGAGGAGAAACTATAATCTCCCCTACTTCAAATTGTGCCAGGAAAGCAAGAACATCGAAAGAATTACCATTTGCGGAGAGATGACCAACCTCAACTGCCTGCTGGATCTCACTATCAGTGGGGAGGTTACATCCCTGCCAAACTGAAGTAGTCCCCACAGATAATGAAGTAACCAAGTTCTCTACTGCCTTCTGCAACCCAGCTTCCTCCTGGACAACAACAGGTTCAGAGAGGGAATCACCCACTACCTTTTGCACACCTTCTTCCTCCATGGCAACTACAGACTCAGAAAAAGAAGTCCCCACTTCAACATTCCCACCAACTTTGCTCCTTTCAATTATAATATCCTGAGTATGTACTACTTTCTCCACAGATTCTTCAACTACAACCTGACCTTCCACAACTACATCCTCCCTCTCCTGAGCATCCCGCTCCACCTTCTCACAATCATAAATTGGGCCGGGGGCTGAGCACCTCTACTATGCTATAAAGCATTGGTGCTTTAATGTACAACTTGAAGTTGTACCATAATGTTAAATGTATAAGTTCACGTTGTACCATAAAGGAATTTGTATCCTTATGTTATGGTACAACTTTACAACTTAAAGTTGTACTATCATATAAAGGTGCAAGTTCAAATTGTACAACAAAAGAATTTGTACAAGAGTATAGGTACAATCTGAAGTTGTACCATAACGTTAAAGGTACAAATTCAAGTTATACAATAAAGGCAAAAACCTATAGGACCAATGCTATATAGCATTGTAAAATTTCTCAGTTGCGGTTAGGGTGCTAAAACTAATCTTCGTCAATAGGAAGCTTTCCTTTTGCTGATTTTATGTTTTTTTTTAAGAATTGGGTATCTTTCATTTCATCAAAAGCAACACTAGCAACACTTTTTATAGTTAGGGATCAACTTTGGCACAACCAATCACAACCTACAATCTCGACTAAACACAAAAGGAATCAAATATTGAACTTCCAAATAGCCCTATAACTTCATCCCTTACAACCCTGCACAACACATCACAATCCCTACATTGACCTGCATAAACTCTATTGTACCTTTCTCTCCATAACACAGTCACCAAGCTTTGCCATATAGCTCTCCCAACCTGGGACT